AAGTCTTTATTTAATACACTTTGCATCTCCATCTTAAAATAGTTGCAGAGGCCACGTTAGTCTTCACGAGTCCCAGCAAAAGCAACAAAAATGTCTTCTTCATCATCTTTTGGCTGCTCTCTTTAGGGGTCTTGACATTGGATCATCAGCCTCCACCTCACTCTATTCCTAGCTCGGTCACCAGTCCTGTCAGTGTCCTCTTTCACTACATCTATGAACCTCCTCTGAGCTCCTACTCTTCAACATCGTTTGTACAGTACATCAACTATCCCTCCTCTGCACATGTCCAAACCATCTCAACCTTGCCTCTCCGACTTTGTCTCCAATTCACTCAACCTGAGTTGGAAACAGTGATGCCAACAAAACGACAGGAGGGCAATGAAAAAAAATCTGAGCACTGTGTCCAATCTGTCTCCACATCACAGCAGGTCTCACTTCTGCAAACCTTTCCATTTCATTCTTTCTGTGATTCTTCTTTCACAAATTCCCCAGAGACATTCGTCTCCACCCTGTTTGTGCTCTCTTCTTCACAACTAAATTAAATCAAGTATTGCAAATATAAATATATATTTTAAAACAAAAAACATTCAGTTCCAAACCCAAATTACACTGGTTCATCCAAAATAGAAATCCTGGTGTTTGCATGGATGAAAAATAGTCCCAAAGTGACAGCAACCAGCTCTAGGGTCAACAAGACTTTGTGGCAAAAGGAGGTTTGTGTTTAATATTTGTTTTCTGCTCTCATGCCTTTGCCGAGATATTCAGTTGCTCTTTATCGATAGAAGAAAAAGATATACTGTATACAATGTGAAAATAGAATTTTCAACAAAAGAACAAGGGGCGCAGTTTGTTTCAAATTAGAGCTCACAGCCTCGCACATGTGGGTCTGTAGAATGACCACTCGGTAGCTTTCTTATGATGCTGCTTTATTGAACATGTGTCCAGCATGGGTTATAACAGCACAACAACAAGTATGGCAGCTAAGAGAAGAACTGCACATCGGCAGCCCTGCCGCAAAGCATGTCATGGTGGCGTAAAGCCTCAACGCCCACCCGCTCGACACAGGCAACCCAGTATATGACAGGTCTGCAGCTTATTCTTCTGAGCTAGTTGAAGTGGTAGAAAAGGAATAAAACGAGGACGCGTAAATCAGTCAGTGAAGTAAATCAAAGTGTTGTTGCGATTCACTGTTGCGATTCGTCAGAATGTGTCTGTGATTTTTTTTTTTTTAAATGCTTTCTTTAACAAATAACTCCCACGGGCAGCCGTCTGTCCGTCTACAGTTCAGCTTGTGCCAAAAAGTCACTTCCGAAGTTTTTTTATAATAATAATAATTTTCTATAGCGCTTTTCAAGGCACCCAAAGCGCTTTACAATGCCACTATTCATTCACTCTCGCATTCACACACTGGTGGAGGTAAGCTCCAGTTGTAGCCTGGGGCAGACTGACAGAAGCGAGGCTGCCATATCGCGCCATTGGCCCCTCTGGCCAACACCAGTAGGCGGAAGGGTAAAGTGTCTTGCCCAAGGACACCTCTCTCTCCAAGAGAGAGAGGCCGGGGATTCGAACCAGCGACCTTCCGGTTTCAGATACGCATCCCAAACCCCTGAGCCACGGTCGCCCAGTAACCTTTTAATGTCTGTCTTTACTTCTGTTACCAAATAGACTGAACATGATTAACGAAAGGGTTTTATATAAAATTAAGAAACTACCTGTTTTACAAGTATATTTGTGGCTATGCGTTATTGTACCACACAACTTGCTCATAGAACTCGGATCTTATTGTGGGACGTTTTCAGCATCCCTCCCGGACAGATCGCTCTTAAAAGCACATTTTTTTAATATCTAAAAAATGTGCTTTATTTAACATTTTTAATATCAAAAATATTTTTTTACTTTTTGATAAAAAGAAAAAGTCACTTTACCATAAACTAACTGCAGCTTTTGCAAAAGGAATATTCTTTCTGGTTCAGTTTTTTTTTTTTTTTTTTTGGCAAATACTACAGGTGGTCAGGGTTTCAATCACATTTTGCTGGGCTGTTGCTGTCTAAAGTTGAACTATTTTGTATGAAGGATTTGTATGAAAATGAACGATTTTTAGTATCATCCAAAGAGTGCGAGTTTGTGTGTTCTGTCTTTGTCTGATCTCTGTTCGTTTGTTTGCTTTAAGGGAGTGAAACACCCACCCGCAAACAGAAACCACCTCAGTAACCGGCAACGGTCACGGCCGACTCTATCGAATGTGCCCCACTTCAGGGCGCACCGTCTCTTTCATCATTTCTTGTGTGTCTTTTTTTTTATTAACTTTTACCAGCAAATGTTAAGCGGTAACCTCATCGAAAAGCTCACCTCTTTTAAATTGTTGCTTTTTTTTCTTTGTTTTAAATTGTATCTCTGATAACATCGTGATTGTGCCAAAACCCCTGGAGGCAAACTGTTGCCAAAGCCAGGTGTGTTTGACTTTATAAGACGGTTAAAGGCAACTTAACTCCGAGTAATAAAACAGGATCTCAAAGCACTGCACTCAAACAACATAATATATTAAACATATAATAATATAAAACTAACTTTAAGTATGACGTATTTTTCTTATACTCTTTCTGACCACATGGCCCTTTAGAATAAAAGTCACAGAAACTTTCCAATGAAACACAAGCTGAACAACTCCAAACATTAATTAGATCAAGACGTAATTAACGAAAGAGAAAAATTAAGCTTACTGTTGATTCATACAGTGAAGAAGAGAAAGAAGACTCTGCTCTCCACATCTGAAAGACTGAAAACGCGCGTGAGCTGCTCAGGAGGCAGAACAGGTGGGAGGGGGGAGGAAACCACCCCGGTTCACCAACGATATTCTGCCCTCTCACGTCCCTCACTTTAATATAAGCAAACACGTTGGAGTGGAGCACAGGGCATAGATGCTGATAGATACCACAGTTGACTCTAGATTTGGATAAAATAAAACAGTCAAAGTAGCCAGTAGGCTTTTATTTTGAAGGGCCAGAACCAGAAGCCAAGGTTTTTACATGCCATTTTTATGGAAATAAGAAGCTTTCTTAGATTTTTTTTTTCTAATCTAATTAAAGTTTGCCTAACAGGGGGAGAGAAAAATCAGACAGTGATAACACAACTAAACACAAAATACAGGTTCTACATGAAGGCGTTTGATATTAACAGGAGGGGGGAAAATCCAAGCCTACACGGCACTGTGTGAAAACATTGTTTGTTTTAATCTAATAACTGATTGGGCCACCCTTAACAGCAACAACTGCATTCAAGCACTTGTGATAACTGGCAAAGAGTCTTTTACAGCACTGTGTAGGAATTTTGGACCACTCATCTTTGCAGATCAGATTCAGTCACATTGGAGGGTTTTCAAGATTCCAGTCAGAGCTTGATTGACTAGGCCACTTGATAATAAACACCTTCAGTTAGAAACTCCATGCTGTGTTTGCGCTATCTTTGTCTGATATTTAAATTTGTTTGATGAGATGATGTGAAGAACATGCAAAGAAAAGAAAAGAAAAGAGCAAATCAGGAAGGGGACAGCGATTTTATGCAGTGGATCACAGAGATGGGATCGTATTTTGTACTGGCTTTTTGATACATAAGGACATTAAAATGGCAGGTACAACTGCAATGAAGAGCCACAAAGGTTTGCATTACAAAATTCATAAACATAATGAACCTCAAATTAGTCCAAAAATCACAAGAGGACAACATGAAAGCCTCACAAAATTTAAATTACAGACACAAAGAGATGAATTACTATATGAAGGATGTTACAGTCTATCCAACAGGTGAACATAATGCAACATTTCGAGATATGAGGCAGAAAGAAGCCACTCAAAATTTTAGAAAGGTGAAAAAATACATTTAATATACGTTGACCCTTTGTTAGCACCTGAAACAAATTTTATCAATGGAAGATTCTTATTTTTGAAGGCTGGAAATATTAAACTTTGTGAGACAGTGAATACCAGCTGGTAACAGTAAAGTACAAATGTACTGTTCACCAGCCGCAGATAAACATTGTTACTACTAATGATGGCAGTCGCTTCCAGAGCATTAAGGATGGATCAGCTCCCCAACTGCTCCACGTTTCATCCTACTTTGACTTCAGGAACTTCATGCAGTACGTATCCCACACCTCCCCAGTGCACCAAAGAAAGAAAGAAAGAGGGCAAACACGGGATTGATCTCTCCTTAAACATAGGAGACACATCATCTCATGGTTTTTTTTTTGTTGTTGTTGTTTTTAATTCTTACTAAAGAGATGTACCAAAGGTGCTATCAGTGTTGTACTGCAAGTATTCACCAAAATTTAACTTCATTGGCAGCTGTCATGTAGTGGAGAGCCAACATTGTGATTTTAAAACGCTGCATAAACAAGATAAGGATCGCGTTTACAGTTAGCCGCATGGTAACAGCCACCAACTGGTTGTTTGGATTCTGGTGGCATGTCATTTAATCTCAATTTTTCAAATGAATCCACTAAAACTTATCCAAGTACTAAAAACTATATTAAATTCTTGTAAATAAAAGGACAAGAATTATCAGCTACATAAATATGTAATACATTTCTGATTAATAACACTCTTTTCTAATTCTGTCTTGTTCCCAGTTTGGCTCAAGCTGGCAACAAACAAATGAGAGTTCACACACAGCTTAATTCCATTGTCCAGTTAAATTAAATGAACATGCAATACAGTGTGCTTTATTCAACCTTTAAAATCCATAGTCGGTGGCCTAGTGGTGATCGTTTTTCCCAATCATCCTGCAAGACAGCCTGTGGGACACGAAGTGGCGGTTTTTGATATGGGTGACATGGGCTGTTACCAAGGGCGGTGTTCTGGGAATCTATCCTACCTCACAAACCATCCTACCCGTTGTTTCTGTGCATATGCTGTGCGTAACACAAACCCCTAATTTACAGGGGGTTAGGGTTGATTAGTCAGAAGTCGCGTCAAATTATAATAGGGGTAGGAAAGATGTGCCAAAGTAGGTCGGTTTCTCAGAACAGCGGCATCACGGGCATCGGCAAAAGAAGTTTCTTGCACCCATGCTGCCCTGACATCATGCCAGCGCATTTTGGGGATTGCATAGGCACCGATCACCGATCGGACAAACCTGAATTCATGAACTAAATCATCTGTAAACTTTGGAAACGTGTTATTTTGAACTGAAAAATAAAATGTTTTGGATTTAATCTAAAGATTTATTTGAACTTAAGTACAGAAGCCATTTTTAATTTCCTATTTGCACATCGTTTTTTGTTTAAATACTAGTAGCACTTTAATTTGTTTTACCTAACATTTGTATTCTTTTAATTTTTTATTCTTACAGTTCTATTGATTAATGTTAAAAATATATTTGTCTATCTTTAAATTCTTATGTTTTATCATTAATTTAATTTGCTGTGGGATGAGACAATAAGGTAGCATCACGGTTGGGCACACTTGAGCAGGTGAGGTGGAGCCTAGAACAGGAAGTTTGTCTACAGGAAGTGGCAGATGAGAGTTAGTGAGATAATTATTGACTAATCAAAGAGTTAATAACCTGAAAGGAGCACAACTTGAGATGTCACATGATTCAAATCAGCCAGGCCTTTATTTTGAATGGACCCACAAGCCCAAGCTTTTTCTTAAATGCAGTGTTTTTCTGCAAATAAATAAACACAATTATAGATATGGTTTTTACACTATTAACAAACCAAGCATTGTGTTTGGCTTTATTTACAGAAAAAACGTATTTATTTTACTCCATTTGGTATTGTAATCGATTAATGGCAATTTCCTAAATAACTAATTTCTTAGACAAACATCAGGACAAGTTTTAAGCTTTTAACACTTTAATTCATCTATTTTCTTGCATTTGGTGCTGCACCACTGCTTTACATAGCAATGCTGTTGCAGGGAGAAAAATAACTGGAAGAAGCATTCTTATATCTTTAACAGTCTAACAAAAGTTTGCCTAACAGAGGGGGAAACAGAGGATACAGTATTGGACCGTAGCCTAAATCCAGGATAAAGAGGTTCAGTAATTGTAATTGTAATTTTAAAGGGTCTGAAGGTAGATGAGATTGTCTGAGGAGATTCTGTAGAAGGACACAGTGCCAGCAAGACAGTCCACATACACTGCAACTCTGTTAGAAACAGAGGAGGAGGAGATGCTGCATATTTTTTGCTTACTGTGCCACACAGAGTAACCATTGTCAGAGCACCTCAGACTCCAAGATTGATCATTTGATCCAAACCCACAGTCTGTATGTGTCCTTTCCTTCTGATTCCTCTGTAACTCACTGATGTTTCAATGTCTCCTCTCCACTCGACCTCCCAGTAACAGCGACCAGTCAGAGGATCTGTGCAGAGCAGCTGAGGACAGTCATCAAATCTGTCTGGATGATCAGGATATGACTGAATCTTCTTCACATGTGTCACCTTCCTGTTGTTGTCAGACAGTTTGAGGTTTTTATTTACTGTGTTTGTGTCGATTGTGAGTTGACAGGAATCTGATGGAGAGAACAAACACAATCCAGCTGCAGTTATTGATCCATCATCTGTTCATTGATTGACACTTTGATGATGACTCCTGACATCAGAGATGTGAATGAGTGATGTGACAGTTTGAAGATGGTTGAATGTGAGCTGCTTTGTTTTCATGAATCACATTAAAAACACACTTACACTTCCTCAGACCTGGTGTCAACCATTGTTCTCCAGCAGGCTCCACCCTGAAAGGAGGAGGGGGGTCAGACCAGCACAGTCTCTTTCAGCATGCACACATGGACATTACATCGCTCTCATACACATAGTTTATTATTCTCTAAAAGTAATAGTAAGTGAGGAATAGAAATAAATGCTTTCATCATGGCCAGAGTGCATAAAAAAATAACCACCTAAGTGCCAGATTTACTAATGTGTTGCTTCAGTCCAAACTCAACAAAGTACTGTCAAGATTTGCAAGATTGCATGTAAGACGTGGGAACTGATATTTTTTGCACTAACCGCCTTGCATATAAACTTCTGGAAGTTCCTTTCTAAAGCTGCAAAATATGGGTGAAAAAACTACTTAGATCAACTGTGCAAACAGGTGTACTAATGTTTGCGTCATGCAATATACTGCTGTTTGCGCCAATATTTATTTGACATGGCAGCAATTATTGCTTGCACACGTAAAAGTGTGTTCTAGAAAAGAGAGATGTTTGTCCACTTGTGTCAGTTTATTTGAAATGCCAGAAAAAGCTCTTTTAAAACATACATATTACGCGGCGACCTAATTCTAAACTCGCTCACTGAACTCAGAGATGACTTGGGACCTCCGATTAAAAACTTTCAACTCTTTCATTTTTGGTATCAGATTTTCTGTGGGAGAAATTTCACAGCATGAACAGTGAGGTTCAAAGTGAAATGGCTGAAGAAAAGAGGATGATAACAGTAACGACTTTGGACCCTGTTCTAAAAATAATAAGGCCCTTATTAGTCATCATGCAAATTCAGCTGCTAGCACTTTGTCAACATGTGAGATATTAATCACACACACAAACTTACAAAGAGGTCTGCAATCTGTAAATCTTTTTTTTTTCATATTTCATCTTTTTTTTAAAGATCCAGCATGGAAAAATAGTGGTGGTACGTTAAACACACAGTGTAGAATTAAACTTTTGTCAATCGGGGATTCACACAGGCAATCGCATCCACACCTACAGCAGATTTAGAAAGCCCGACAACATGACAGTATTTCTTCCTCCTTTAGACACTGTATGTGAT